GAAATTAAAAAAGTGTTTGTTAAGCTTACGCTTGTAATTGATGAATTCGCAATAGAGCTTGCACTCAAAGAAACGGACTTTTTCCATCTGAGTTTACTATTCAAATCAAACAATTTATTATTTCTCGCAGAAATCTACGACCGCCAAGAACTTTTTTATAAATAGTACATATCTGAATATACCAGAAAATTTGAAAATGTAACCCGATTCAATATATGATTCATAGATGTAGGAAGTAAACAAGGGGAAAGCAAGTACTTCAATTCACTAACACGAGGAACCTAAAACACAACAAAGTCACACTTAAACATACAAAATAAAGCAAGACTCTCTAAATATGCAAAGCCCTACTGGGACGTATGAAGTTCTGCTTAAGGCACAGCATCTTAGTCTGTAGATAAAAAATGTTAATGCAAATTACAATTACAACATTCATAAAAAATGTAAATATTAATTACTATTACAATATTTATTAGCTACAAATGTATAAATTAAATTTAATTGCTACTTAAGACCTCATTTATTAAATGTACTAAGATGACTTATATTTTTTTAACTTGAATAAACCTGCTTTGTTTTTATTTGATAAACTATTTAGTTTATTTAATATATTTATTCAATAAATAATAGTAATAATATAATATTTAAAATAAAAATAATAAAGATCAAAAATACTTATTGTAATCCACTAAAATAAAACAAATACCGATTCCACCCCGGACTGTACTCTATAGCCGTTTTATACCAGATGCTCACAATATTTATATGGTTTAGCATCAGCGTTTAATACTTATCGAAATATATATGTATAGTATATAGTATATGTATTGTATATATAAGAAAAGACCAAGCAAAACTTAATTACTCATCGTAAAAAATTATTAGAAATACTTCGAGAACGATAATATTACGTGGTAGCCTTGACATAACGTTTATATATCTCTAAAATCTGATAGATACAGTTCCTAAAAGAGATTTTTGGCGCGGCCACAAAATTTAATAAAAAAAAGTGAATGTAAATCTAAGGGAACATGGCTGCTATAGTAAATCTCTGTTAAGTGGACGCTATCCCAAAGAGATATCTACTGCAAAGTATAGTCCTAAGTTTTGAATGTATGATATGTAAAATGTCTGTTAAGTGAACGCAATCATAAACATATATATGTTCCAACGTATGTTGTCCTATGTTTTCGATTATTATACTAAATACGTTTTCAAGCCGCACAGTTATCGTAACCGGTCAGAATTACTGGTTCCATCAGTGACCGCTTAAGAAAACTTTCACTTCGCATATACTTATTTATCTATTAATCATTTTATGAGCACATGAACCTATCAAAATTATTAGTCAAACCAACTGTTAATTAAATATAATACATAATTAACAAAAACATATATATGTTCTATGCATATATCAACCATTATTCGTAATAATCACATATCCAAGAAGTCAGTTATGATCGCCTTAGTTTAAGTGTCAGCTATATGGTATAAAGTTATCCAGTCATATTGGCAACTGTTCAAGTTTCATTATCTAAGTTTTATGGACAGGCCAATAAACCAAGATCCCTTAATTGATTCGTCCCCGAATTGATTAAGAATATATTTATATCCAATGTATTACAATCACTTCTATCAACTTAATACCTCATTTTCGGATAATATGTGTGAAGGGTGTAAACAATAAAAATGAGTAGAAATTAAAAAAAAATTCACATTCAAATCTATAGTTTTTAATTGAAATCAATCGTATATATAAATTGGTCTTCGATTACTGAGCAAAAATTAACTGCAGCGACCAGATAATATGGATTATATAGATTAGCTGTCTGTATCAGATATTTCTAACTTTGATAACTTGTTATAATTACAAATCTCACCGCTTAGCCGCTATCGCTCAATGCGATACGCCGATAAGAAGCGTAGCGCTCGAAAGTCAATTATAACGAGCAAAGTCGGTATAAATTTGAAGAATTTTCTAAAAAGTTAAGAAGGGTCTAAGTGCTGACAAAGGGTTTTTCAGTTTTGCTAAAATTTAATTTTGGATTTGCTGATTTCATATAGCATATAAGATGACTTGTCAGCTGCCTTCAAATTCCGACTTACTGACCAAGTTCAGCAAATTTTCGATGAAAGCGAGAAATTTCAACGACATTGAAGACCCATATTTTGCAAAGAAGAATGAAGCGAGTCAAAGAATTGAGGAATGCTGTTTTGGTAATAAACGATAGTAAAAGTGCACTACAATGTCCTATACAAACTACTTATATTACGAGTATACAAATTAAGTTGATAGCTTGATCACCTATAAAAAATATTAGTCGAGGTTGAACTGATAATGTTAGGATATTAACAATATCAACAAAATTAATATTTATCTATTTTTGCATTAAAAATAATAATTAATATTTATTATTAAGAAAAACGTTTATAATTTTCATGTTAAACACAAAACCCGTTTGGAAAAGTCATTGCATTGCAAGTGAATGCGCTATTTCATCAATAGGCAGCATTGGTGTTTTATGGGTCATGTATGCTGGCGATACATTTGAGGCTACAACATTTACTACCTACAGCATTCAATACTGCCAAGTATAGTAGAAATTAGCAACATTTTGCAAACTGCTATTTGGAAAATAGGAAATAGCAACTGCTATCTACCTATAAAAACATACACAGCTGTCATGTCTATTATGATTATTACTATGTAGTTATCTATATTTCTTAAAATTCTGCTAATTACAGTTCGTTGACATTATTTGAAGTGATATTTTGCTATACGTTGCTATGTATTTCTCTTCTGCTATACTTTATTTTATTATATATTTGCCACTTCTGTTCTAAATTTTTTAGTCATACTTTCACTGTTATAGTTCTGCTAGATTTTGCTCTCCAATTTTTAGTTTTGCTATTCCAAATTCTTTTCTGCAACTTATGATTCTGCTATCACAGTTTTGCTATTCCAAATCCTTTTCTGCAACCTATGATTCTGCTGCCACAGTTTTGCTATTCCAAATCCTTTTCTGGAACTTATGATTCTGCTACCACAGTTTTACTATTCTAAATCCTTTTCTGCAATTAATGAATTTATGATTCTGATATTATTATTATTTCTCTACTGTGGTGCTTTTGGTTCTCTATTTTCACTATTTCTGTTGTTCTATTTTTAATTTGCTATTGCCTCTATTGTTCTATACTTTTTGTTTTTTTTTTCAACTTAATTAATTAATAAGGATAATAGCTGTTTAATTTTTGCTATTTGATTCTATTGTTACTATTTTATCTTTGATAGATACTATCGAAAAATATCAATCGCAATAACAACTTCTATCAGAAAATAGTAATAACAATAGCAGGTGCTGTCAAAGTATGACAGTGGCAATAGTACCTGCTATCAAACTATAGCAATGTCAGTTGCAGCTGATTTCAGAGTAAGACAATAGCAGTAACCGCTATTGTAAGAAAATAACAACAACAAACAGGACTAACAAAACTATCAGAATATAACTATAGCAGTTGGTAACAGAAGTTACCAAAAATAGCAGTTGTATTAGCAATCACTGTCTGTATCAATAGCAGTCGCTAACAAAAACTAGCAAAAACATTAGCAACTAATTTAAATAAAAGTACTATTCGCTAATAGATACTACCTTAAAGAATAGCAACTACTAAAATAGCAGTAACAATAACAACTACTGTCAAGAAATAGCCGTAGTACCTATTTTGAGACCTTAGCTATAGTAACAGCTACTACTAACAGGAATAACTTTCAATATAGTATAACTTGTATAATAGTATCAGACAATAGCAACAACAACAACAATGACAATTACTATTGGAAAATAGTTATAACTATATGATGACTATGACTATAGTAGTATGATTCAGGAATTTTCAAAATTATAGCAGCTTCCATCACAAATTGCAGACGTAATAGCAATTATCAGTAAAAAGCAGTAGATTTTTTTTTTAGTAAAAGCAGACATTAATAGTTGCTATTGGAAACTAACAATATTTTACAGAAAATAGTAATTGTAATAGTAACTACAATTAAAAAGTAATAGTTTTACTATTGCTGTCAGAACTGTCGTAATGTTACAAACTGCCAACAACAATAATAATTGCTATCAGGAAATAGCAATATAACAATAGCAATAATTGTAATAGTAATAACTATTCAAATATCAATAACAGGTCCGATCATGTAAGAACAGCTTCGCTCATCATTATATATTAATGAATCTAGTACTTTTGTATATTCTTCCAAGATATTTAAGATGATAAGATAGGACAAGTAATAGTAACAGCTATTCAAAGATCAATAGCAGATCCTATCATATAAGAACAACTTCGCTCCTCATTATATATTAATGAATCTAGTACTTTTGTATATTCTTCCAAGACATTTAAGATGATAAGATAGGACAAGTAATAGTAACAGCTATTCAAAGATCAATAACAGATCCTATCATGTAAGAACAGCTTTGCTCATCATTATATATTAATGAATCTAGTACTTTTGTGTATTCTTCCAAGACATTTAAGATGATAAGATAGAACAAGTAATAGTAACAGCTATTCAAAGATCAATAACAGACCCTATCATGTAAGAACAACTTCGCTCATCATTATATATTAATGAATCTAGTACTTTTGTGTATTTTTCTAAAACATTTCAGATGACAAGGAAAAAACTAAGTTTCATTAGATAATATTGTAACAATCGTCATAGGGTCGTAATAGATTATATTAGGTATGAATTAAAATAAAATAACTTTAAGTCAAAGTGTAGAGCTGTATGTTATGTGACTGATATTCGTGTAATGTATATCCAGTATATCTATTTGCGGAGTGTAGCGTACCTAAACCAGATTTTAAAAGCTCCGCTTCGCCACTGTCGCAGCAACGTTAGTCGCTGCCAAAGCTTTACAATATCGAACAAGTTTAGAGTTTAACTTAAACTTCGCTGCAATGTAACGAATCATTCTCCACAGTGCGGCCACCGGAGGCGGTTAGTACATTGTATCGTTCGCGTTGCGCACCTGCGACTAATTCTCAACTCTTTGCTTGTGGATCATATATGTACATTTATCGCGTTTTGCAAGTCAATCGCGGCACACCATAGCGAAATCACTTCGGCAGTTCTTGTGCGTTTAGTTAAGTTTCGATCGTTTAAGACGTTAGTGAATGCCGCTAAAAATACAAAACTCGATCCGCTCCTAGTGAAATCGTTCTGAAATCCGCGTTAATAATCCATACAGGATTTCGCAATTAAAACGCTGTCGTTGTCGTTGTTGTTGCCGTTGCCGTTAAAGTGCACAAATAAATAGAATTCACGCATACATTTCTGGTGTTGTTGTATTATAATTGTTGTTATTGTTGTTATTGTGTAAGTATCTCCAAAAATATTTTTATTTCATTTCTTTTTTATTTAAATGAATCGAGAGTAGCGTTCAATAGCCGTATCGCGCTAAGTTTTGCAAAGTTAAGATATCAACTGTGACTAAGGCAGAGAGTGGCAAGGGTACGAAAATCTAAAATTGAGCAAAACGGAAAAAAATCAACGGAAAACAACAACACCTAAAAAAAACCAATTGACAACATGAAAATATAAGATATACATTCGTTCCTGTTTGTTTCGACAACAAAATTTAGATTGATTTTAAGTTGCAACTTGATCAACAGTAACTGCACTGCATTCATGCAAAAATAAAAAATAATTACTTGAGCAACTGTTATCAGGTTGATTGATGTCAGGGCCACCTCCTGAAAGTAACATCCATTAAAATAAATTGCAAACTTATTTTGTTCATTGACTCGAACCTGTTTGCATTTTATTGATTGGCTGCAAAAGAGAATGCCTGTTTCCGCAACTGACAAGGACGATATTTGCAATCAATTCCAATCACTATTGCATCTCTTGTATGTAGTATTCGATATGCACATAATCGACTGACGTTTATGACTGGAACCATAATGTAAAGTCGATGTCTTACTTGTATCGACTTTCAACTCACTAATTTGGTTTATAATTACAAAAATTCAGTTTGCAGGAAAATCGTTTTTTATTGGCATCTATAAAATCGATGATTTGCATATCACTGATTTACAACTCACTGATTTGATTTATATTTATAATAAAATATAAAGAAGATTACAGAAGTACCTTCTATTATTGTCTCCTAATATAAAATCGATGCGCAACACAAACTTAATACTTTAGTTCCGGTTAATGTTTACAGAGAATTATTTTACATAAGAGCCTATTATTGCTGATTCAGAATACAAAGTCCATGCCTAATATTCTTCGCTTTAGCGATGGTTTATATATATTTATAGGATTCTACTTAATGGGAGAATATTAGAACTGGCTTCTAATGCAAAATCAATGCCCAACATCTGCATTCCAACCACTGCTTTACTTGGACTTTATTAATAAAGGGAGAATATTATAATTGACTGGATCTTGATACAAAATGGATGGATGTTAGACATTGCTATTGCATTAGAAGCATATATTAGTATGCTTGTCTTTACAAGAATTTCTATTCAAGTCAATATGTATAGCTATACCCTATACTCATTGCTTTAGCTATGATTTCTATTCAGAAAAGAAATTCTTGTAAGGACGAGCATACTATAACTTGCTTCTAATGCAATACCATTGTCTAACTTCCACCCAGTATTAAGTATTTTAGTATGATATTTCTATTTACAGATGGAAAATATTATAGTTGGTTGAATTATGATATAGTACAAAAACAATGACTATTACTTTTACCTTAACCTATGGCTTATATTAAGAGAAAGTGTTCTTCTACAGTGAACACTATTTTATCTGATTCCTTATACAATATCGTTAGCTACTATTTATATTTATAAGAAATAACATTTCTTTAGTAATACTAAGTACCTATTATAGCTGACTCATAATATAAAGTCCATGCTCGTTACCTTATCAATAATTCATATTGTGATAGAAAATTCATTTACTAGGACGACTTTAATAGCTGACTCTCATCTCAACAATTTAAACTACGATATATATTTACAAAGAAAATTATTTTACAGTGAAAACTCTTATAGCTGAGTCATAATACAAAGTTAATGCCTATTACCTATTACTCGTACCACAGAGGAAGTATATTATTCTACTGACTAGTAATACAATGACAATACCCAACACCAACTAATCTGTTTTAGTTATAGTTCATGTTTACAAAGGGAATTATTGCTGTTAATAAAAAGTCAATGCAATCACTCGTTAGTAAAACTATGGTTCATATTTAGTTGGAAAATTCCTCCATGAAAAAGATAATTACTCCTAATATAAAGTGAATATCAATCACTCATTACTTAAGTTTACCTACATGGTTTATATTTAAATAGAGAATTCCTTTATGAAAAGACTATTGTGGCTGAGGTACATATATAACACAAAGCCAATGTTTAGGTTTTTCTTTATAGGGAATTCTTCTGCAGACAAGACTATTGTTGCTCATCTTATACGTGACTTATCAATGTCTCAACTTACATGTTTTGTTGTAGTTTAGTTCTATATGATTCGAGAAACTGTTTCAGCTGGTTCATAATACAAACTCAATACCATACCTTATAACTACTTGCTATTATAGTCCTGGTATTCACATTTTTTGATGATTCCAGAGCAAAGCTTATTATTACTGAAGAATATAGAGAATCTTATGTCGCTCGCTCAACTGACAAATACGTATTTTGTAATATTGGGTTCTGGTTTCTTTTTCTAAAAAAAAAAAAGCTTCGAACAAAACATTAGCAATTTATACATCGTAGTTTATTCAATCACTTCAGATAAAGCGGACTTTTATTTGATATCTGCATATATATAAATATTTGCCTTTTTGCCGAAGTAGGAATGGGGAGATTACAGTTTTCGAATATTTTCAATATGAATATTTACAAGAAACTTATAAAAAATTATAGAACGGAACGAAAAGTAATGATTGAACTCTTATGCAGTGACTGTGCTGAATATCAGTGATAATTTGATATCAAATGCGTACATATTTGTGCCCTTTCTGAAAGTGTAATATCAAGAGAGACTCCAATGAATTGTAGATGTTGAAGCGGAATTCGAAGTAATTGGGAATATTGTAAAAATAGACATGCACCATTGATTAGAGAATTCATGCATTGTAAGCCGAAGCGAGGAATTAGCCTCTATCAAACTGATCAAACTGATCAAACTGATCAATACAATCTCAATTGCAATTGGAGCCGTCCCTTACGTGTCATGGATATTTCTAAATGCAATCGAGATGTATATATATATACATATATATATATATATATATATATATTAATGTATTATATAGCTTACAAACACGAACCCTGTCAGTATAATTGGTCATATAATGTTGATCATTCATCAAAAGTTTATCAAGACCACAATTGGAAGTTTGTTGCAATGAGACTTTGCGCTTAACACGAAATATTTAATTGGAAATTTAAAAAATTACACAAAAATTCAAAACTGGAACTGGTTAGGATGGAGTAACTGAAATTTCATTTAAGTATGCATTACACAAATGCTGTATGTAATTATTATGAAAATAAGTATCAGTCAAATATAGTCGAGGCGGAGAGATGCGCACGCGGATCGCAGCCAAGTGATGTAGGTACGTACGTACGTATGTGCACTGATTATAACACAATTGAGTTGAAAAATTATTGCTGTTAGTATGTTAATATACTTACTTAGATGTGTAAATAAAAATTAACCGAAAGTCATAACGTTCATTTTGGTCAACAGGCCGTGCGGTCGAGTCATAAGCACAACAATCGGAATTGTTGAGATACAGATACAGACTCAGACGTATATACAGATACCTATATCTGTATATAGATGCATATGGATGCATATAATTAAAGTAATAATCTAAGGAAAGTATAGAGTAAGTGCGAGTTCACGAACGTACAGAATATCATATTCTCCATATTGTTAACATGCATGTATTCAAAATAAATACATCGATTACAAACATTTTATGGACCTTATTTAGACTTGGCTTAGCTGTTATGAAAGAGCTGCCAAGCGACCTTAACAGCTGACATCTTATCTTAACAACAGAACTTTGGAACTTATCGTCAGATACTCAATTAATATGGAAAACGCAAATGTTCCAAACACTTTGTGTAATTATAAACAGAATTAGCTGAAGATTTCAGTACTCCTATATTCCATGGATGAAGTAAATCTCCAGTAGAAGAACAAATAGGACTTGAGTTAAGTTCCAAAGTTAGTTCCAAAGTGAACTGCCTGATACTTTTAATCAAATAATTGCATTGTGTACTAATAGTATTGTGTCCGTACCGAACCAATAGTTATGTTTAAGCGATTGGCAATTTGGGCCTGGTTGTACCCTTTTAAGTAATCAAATTGTACTTAGTTCGAGTAAATAGTTTTTGGGTGTTTGTTGATAGCTCAAGTCGTAGCCCTCTAAGTTGTTCTAATTAAGCATGAATTACGACCTATCAATAGCCTTCTAAGTTTATAAAATTATGTTTCGTTGAAAGTAACAGTTTTTATGGCTTTTTGGAAATTTTGACCTAATAATTGCATTTTAAGCTGGTTAAATTATGCTTGGATCACAGTAATAATTCTTGAAAGCCTTGGAAATTAATCAAATTAAATTTAGATTACAGTAACAATTTCTGTGGGTTGCTTTAAAATTTCGGACTATCAATAGCTTTCTAAGTTAATGAAAATTTGTTGGATGATAACAACAGCCGTTTTGATAATAATAATAGTTCTTGTGGGCCGCTTGAAAATTTCGACCTATTAGGTCTTCTAGGCCTTCTATGTTGATCATGATTGGATAACATTAATAGTTCTTGTAAGCTAGTTAGTAATTTCAACCTATTAATAGCCTTGTAAATTGTTGAAATCATACTTGCATCATAGTAATAGTTCTTGTGGGCTGCTTAATAATTTTGACAAAATAATAGCCTTGTAAATTGATCAAATTATGCTTAGTTCGCAGTCTTCACATAACACAAAATTTTCCGGATTTAGTCTTACCTTCAATATACAAAAATTAAATTAAATAACAACAAAGCGCAGAAATTACAATGAGAAGCACAAAAAAAAATGAAGAAAGAAAAAAGAAGCTGACGATAGATTTAAAAGTAATAACATTGACAATGATCCATTTTTTGGTATAATGTAAAGTCACCTTCAACGCCGGATGATTGGTGTGCAGAAAATCGAGAGCCGTACCGCTCTGTTATTGAAGTAATCATGCTTTTTGCATTGTTTATTGTTGTTACATTGTTGTAGTTGTTTCTGTTGTTGTTGCTATGGCTGTTGCTGTTGTTTCTTTTGAGTTTACAAAGCTTTCGTAGCTTGAGATTTGGGTAAATACTCTTAGTAAACAAACGCTATTCGAATAAATCTAAAAAAAATTTTAAATTCAAATTGAAATTCATTTCGTTACGTAAGACTGGTGTGAGGCACGACAGTTTTCGGTTTGGATCAATGTTCACAACATTTGCGTTCTATGAACTAAGTTTTGTTTTTTTTTTTTTTGGTCTCAGTGAGTTCATTTTTTCAAGCCGATTTTTTTCCTACTAAGCTCAATGACTGTCGCTTATAATGTTAGTTGAGTTCAAATCGAACCGAGCGCAGGTGCACAGATCGTATAATACAAATCTATATTCTGTATCCTAGAGAATAATATTTTCTCTACACTCTATATTTGATATATCCGCTAACTCATTCATTCTTATAAACATACTTTATGTCTTATATCAGATACCGGAATTTGTATGCATGTAGACTTAAAAATGCAGGTTGAGTTCAACCCTTCTTCTAGTATTCTAGTTTCTTGTTTTAAAAAAAAAATTCTCTTAAGTTGTGGTGGAGGAAGGAACGAGTCTTCCTCAATTAGCTAACAAAGCCGGTTTGAATCCACAAATCCTCGTTATAGTGAGTAGTAGAGAGAAGGTCAAGCTAATACCAGCCACAAGTATTTATAAAGGCAAGAATCTCTCTTACCTTTATACCATGTTATGTGGCAGAATACATATTGAATTTAAATTATATAAAAAAAAAAAAAAATAAAGGCAAGAATCTAGCCAATGCTAATGCTAAAGATATCGCCGAGTGTATTGAAAAAGGAGACTTAACCATAGAAACTTAACCATAGTTCTGACCAAACCTGGACATAGACCCATCAGGTGTTTTGGTATCCATTCTTCGAGAGCTGCTAGACACGCATTGCAGAAGATACCACAGAGTGGGTCAAGCCTAGCTCCATACCGTTCTACGGTTCAGTGCCCTGTAAAGACAGATATTAACCTAGATACCTTTGATTTGCTTCCCTGTATTAAGTCAGAGGTTCTACATGTGGAATTGATTGGCCATATTCTCTTAAAAATTACACAAATAAACATAAATTTATTTGTGAAAGAACCCGTCTTTAAGATAGTTTCTAACGAAAAGTTAGAGTTCTTATAATTTAGTGACATGTACGGCTTGACTTCTACAAAAAACCACACATTTAAAGTCGAGACGAGAAATATCTTAATTGAATCATTTATAACAAGTATACAACAAGCTGTATCGTAACTAGCTATAATCTCAGATATGTAACTTCACTTTTACAAGATGTATTATTTAAAGTCAATATGACAACCTGATGCCATCATTTTGACAAATTATGAGTCTGCTTCGTAACTTAATATTCGAATCTTCGCAGCCAAGTTAGATATGTGGCTTCACTCTTGCTAGAAGTATCAAAGCGATATGATAGTCTGATGCAATCATTGAGATATATATATCAGGTTGATATATCAACCTGAAGCAATCATTGAGACCAAACATTATGATGTCTGCTAACTAAAAGTTTGAATCTTCACTGCATCGTTTAGATCTATTTCTTAACTCGAAAAATTGATTAAAACAATTAAGTAATGTACGAATATGCTGTTTCAATTCTACAGAAAGTGAAATCAGAAATCGAAATACTAAATAGATTGATTAAATAATTTAATCCAATTATTATGCTTTGACGTCTATATAATTAAGTTAAAGCACAAACTTTTAAGGTGTTCTTTATTTCAAAACAGAAAATTTATTTTCTGTGTATAGCTACCTCGTACCTGTCAGCTATCCGAATTTGAAGCACGGGGTCATCACTTACTGTATATAGCATATTGTTATATGATAATTATGCTAATATGTTTAAATACATACACAAATACATACATTGAGTGCGAAAAACGATATTTGCTGTCATTTCTGCTTTTTCTTCCAATTAAATCATAATGATTTAGTCGTATTCCATTTGCATACAGTTGATCACAAAACAAACTCAGTTGATATTTATATAAAACGGAGTAAGGAACATTTAATCGACGAAAACATTAAACCTGCTCAAAGCTATTGGAACGAAATGAATTTTGGTCATTTTTGAAGGAAAAATAGAACACATAGAATCATCGTTCAATTTAAGAGTCTGGTGTAACATCGAGATTATAGACAGGAAAGATCATTTTATGTACTTGATTGAATCACAACAGTATCATCCATCAAAAGCCTAAACGCAAGGTAACTAAGAAAAATTTTAATGGATAACCAAAATAGTAACCCTTGCTTGAAGTATTCCCGAAAATTTCCAGGGTAGAAACTGTCTGCCACACCATGGAGATTGTTTTTAGACCGTACATAAAGCGGACATAGGCATTTTTAACTGATTCGAATCTCTATTATCAGCTGTTAAAGTAAGAAAAATTTAAAAAAAAAAGGCAAAATTGATTGAAAAGAAAGATGACAGCTTCATTATATATTTCATGTTCCAGATCTATATTCAGATAGAAAAAACTTTGTTTCGTTTGGCATCTAAATTTAGACCAAAAATTACTTCTGGAAATGTTTTGTAAGAGATTTCTAAACAACTTTTCAACATTTTATTTATTTATAAACTAATGATGTTAAATACACTAAATTTATTATTGGAACACAGTAAATAGTAATACCAAATACAATTGGATATGATTAAAAAAATCTTTTTCACGCATAATAAATGAAGAGCATTGCAAATATTGATTCAATACTAATCCGACGCTTTAACTGTTTAATTTTAGACAATTGTATAGTTTTCAATTATATTAAAACTCACAGTTCTTATGTTTAGTCTTCATTTCTTTTATAGCATTAAAAATTTAAAGTAAATAAGAATTATAACGCTTCGTTGTAAACATTAATTAATAGATATTTAACTCCCAGTTTCATTGTAGTTTTTTTTTTTTTTGAAGCTTCTTTACCTATACCAACAATACAAACAATTTAAATTTATAAAAACATTTGAAATGAAATTTTATCTTATTTTTCAGGTACAATGTTATATTAAAATCCAAAGTGCTTCTAACGATCATCTTTTCGTTTTATTTAAAGTTTTAAAAATTTAAAGTGAATAAGAATTATAATGTTCTGTTGTTAATATTGTTTAACAGAAATATTGCAAGTTTTAATTTTGTTATAAATTTTTTTTTTGTTAAATTTGTACGTTGGAATTATAGGAGAATTGATTTAATTTTTTCAATACAATATATATTTACAATTACAATTATGTTGAAACAGTTTTCAGCTAGTGCACTTAAGCACTTATACTCTTTTTTAACTCGAGGAATTTTTAAAACCCCTCTTTACATCTTGACTAGATTATTGTTTATCACTTCATCAGACTAAGTAATAATTGACCTCAGATCTGCATACCTCCCCGAGGACCCTGTAACCATTTTGAGATTCGATAACGCGGTGTTGGTAAGTCTGTCAGTTTTCGTAAATAATTTCAGGGTTCTATCCTTTATGTATTTTTTGATGGAATCAATCTTGATGTCCCTGAGGATGTCATTCGTCCTAATATACCATGGAACAGCTAGAATTTCGCCATTTTCCGGTGGCCATCAATTGTCACTGGCGTTATTTGGATTCCAAGACGCACCTTTTTAGCCTCACTAAAGTTTGAGTTTCTTACATGGAATTGTTTAACCAAAGAGCCCCAAGTGTTAATCCGACGTAGCACAATGGGGACAACTTTTCCTTGTTTCTTGTCAGAGGTCGCGCCATTAAAAACCGGTTGCCCTTCGCTGCGATTACTTGAATTACTTGTGACGTTTGCGCTTGGAGACTTTGGTTTTAGAAGCTTGACGTTAATGACCTCGCCTTCTTGAACCACTACTTGCTTAGGGAATTCCGGAAGGTTTACCTGATTTATTAAGGTTTTCTCACAATGGATGGAAGCCATCCATTTTCTCCTTAAGTTTCTTAGACAATTTGATTTTCAAGTCGTAAGTTGGGAAATCTTTATTGTAAGAGCTAGAGGACCCACAGTCTGAGGCAATGGGCTCCTCAGCGGCGGTCACCAACTCCCTATCCTCATCGCTGGAAACAGCAGAGCCACGGGAGGAGCTAAGTGGAAAGGGTGGTGAAACCTTATTCCTTTTGTTTTTGCGGCCTTGTAAACTAATTGTATTTGGCTTTGAGCTGCTTTGCAGCGGTTGCTCCACCTCTACGCAATGTGATTTCAACTCTTGGAATTGCAGCAACAACTTTGAGTAATTTTCTTGCAAGAGTTCATTGAGTTTTTTAACTTCTGATTTCAATTGAGAGTTTTTGTCCGGAGGTTTTGATTTGTCTTCATTATTGTCCGTTTCAGCTATATTCTTAATGATGCCTACTCCCTTAAATCTAAAACTGTAACTTTCCAATTCTTACTAGATGTTTGATTTTCTTCCAAAAAAAATAAGGCCAGAATTTTTCAATACAATCACTATGAATTACAAAGTGATGCACAGTAATAACGGTCGTATTAACAGCGATAATTCAAAATTTGACGTTAGATATAATTTTTTCCAGCACACAGAAATTAAAACGTTCATGAACTTGAAAAAGGTGTCTATTTAAATATTTAGTTATATATAATTTTTATTTAAAAAATTAAAAAATTATTTTAATTACAAATATTTCGGTCTACTTCGTAGACCATCTTATATAATTTAGAATATAATTAAACGACATGGGGAAAAGCGATGTACTTCTTTTCGATGAAAACAAATTACCCTATATTGATTTGGAGACCGCAGTAATCCGAATGGAAAAAGAAGAAGCACCACAATGGGCACTTGAAAAAGCTAAAAAAGAACTAAGAGAAACTCCAGATATTATGGAAGAGAGTATTAAAAAGCTGAAGGAGCTATTGGAAAGTATGATCATTAATTTTTTTCATTCAAAACTTCGATTTCGTTTAACATTTTTTATGAAATTATTAGAAGAAGAACACTTATTCTTGCCACGAGATGATGAATACATGAAAATGTTTCTACGTCCTTGCCATTACTATCCAGAAGGTGCCTTAAAACGGGTATGGTTTTCTTTACATTTGCTAATTCAAAAACTATTAATAGTAACTTATTCTTTCAGTTAAAAAGTTTTTACCACATGAAACTAAAATATGGAGATTCATGTAAATTTGTAGTCCCATCAAAAGTAAAAAACGTATTCGAAGATGATTTGCTATCCCTCTTGCCTAATAGAGATCAACATGGTCGCAGATTGCTCGTTTTAGAAGCAGGAAGTATGTACATACTCTAAAGTTCAATTTAATTTATTGATATATCTAAAGGTCCTTAAGAACCTATGGTTTAGTAACAAAAATATCTGGATAAAAGAGTCCAACGAATTTTGTAACTTATTTAGTTTAATTTATATAGTTTGCAAGGGTGAATACAGTGAACTTAATGCAAGATGGTACTAATTCCTGAGATTATAACAAATATTCGTATTTCCATCATAAAGTCTTACATACCATATAATAATTTTCTTGCGTCTATGAATTCGGATTTAACTTAGTATGTATCAAGAGTAGTACCGTTTAAGTTGGACTAGCAATGTCACTGATTATATTTTGTCATTTGAAGCACAGACTTAATTGAAAGTATTGCCTATTTAGCATATAGCAATAGATTTGAGTTGGAAAAGTATTTGGAAACCCGTTATGATTGGCGGCAATAAAGTTTTTTTTTTTAATTTCCTAAGAGAGAGAGAGAGAGAGAATTCTCTGCTCAATGCTTTTTATGAATTATACAACGAATGTGACATAAAATATTTTATTTTTAGAAACCCCCTGGTATGCTGGATCTCAACCTCTAGATATTCTTAGGTTACAATCACTTTTAAAACATTTCATTAGCACTTCACTTCAAAGAAGTACTAATGACCTTAATTACAATAAGTCAGTATTATTTCTGACTGCTATCCTAAAAGACTACTAGAGTCATTTTGTTTCCGTATACTATTTGAAAAATTTAAAACCATTTGTAATTCGCTAAAGAGCTGACTAGAATCTTTCAGAAAGTGCATTCATAACATACTTCATTCTATGTTGCACAGATTAAAAATTTTTGCTAATTTTTTCCGTCTTTTCCACAGCTACGGTTAGAACCAAAGAGCCAAAAAGAAACACTTAAATTTTAGCTTGGTTGCTAGCCGGAAGTTAATATAAACCCTAGAATAACTTTATACTACGTTTCCATATGAAAAGTAAAACAAGAAAAATTCTTAATTTATTTTTTTTCTTTTTTGTAGTAGTCCGTGTTTTTTCAAAACTTATAATTCTCTTCTTATTTAATACTTCATATCATGACGATATTTGACTCGCTTTCTCAACCACTTAAATTATAAATCATATACATATTGGCGACCTTTTCTCAAACTGATCTTACTACGGAAGAAAGTTTAATCGTTCTCACTGACTTCACCGTTTTCACCCGCTTTGGTAGATAGTTTTCGTTGTCTCGCACTATCAAATCTATATGTTTTAGCTTGTTTTATTTCGTATTATCAATATCTTGAAAAGTCCACGTACAGTTACTATTTTGTAGTAAATCCCTATCTTCAGATTACTAACATATTAATACTGAGTGCTTACAAACACTTTAACAATTGTTAATAAATTTTAGTTCTCAATATTTATGGCTCCATTAGTGTAATAGTAGTGATGTTCCTCTACTCTTCAAGAACTAAAATTTTGAAGTTATTGTTGTTGTGGACCAATTTAAGAAAACTATTAATCCTCACAGAAAACCTATTTAATTCACCTTCCTTTGTGCATGATCAAACTCTGTTCGGAGTTACCTGGTACTTATTTACCATTGTTAAAAGGTGGTTTTGAGACTCACACTCAACCATTTCTGGAACTAATTTTAATTTCTGGAAGTGATGTTACCTTTTTTATTGATTATAACTTTATGCTTGGATTCAAGCAAAATAAATTTCAACATGAAAACAATTAATTCACTGCATAAACTAATTATAACAAAACTAGTTGTTCAAAAAAATATATGACTTACCTAAAATTCAACGTTAATCCATTAAAGACAGTGAAGAAAATTATTTTCTCTTTATGCGTCATGACAACTTAATGAGCCCAAGCCGTTTTGGAAAAATAAAGTTTTTGTTCTCCAGTTTTTGGTTGAAGATCTCTAATTCCAAATTATAGAGACTAGTTTCTTACTCTAGAGACTATAAAAAAACATATTTGTATAATTCATAATTCATAATGGTTGAGATAAAAATAAGATATAATATACATATATGTTAATGATATGAGATAGAAAATATAGATGATGTATAGCATGAGATATTATGAGCTATAAATATTAAATGTAAGAACTGGTCATAAGGGAACATATATCCGCATTTTCCGTATTGTAAGATGAATATAGTCTCCATGTTAGTACTTAAGAAATGTAGTAGAGAAGAATAATTGGTTGGAAAACAAAAAATATGGTTTTAAAATTACATAATGTATAATAACAAAAAGCTTTTACTTTAAGTTTTCGTTTTTGGAATTATTAACTTTTTTTTAAGTTTATAAGGCCTTTCATATTTTATATACTGCAAGTTTAAAAATCCTAAACTTATATTTCAGAGTCTTTCACAAAATAAATTTATCGAAACTGTTCAAAAATTCTATATAACGTGGAATTTATAACTCTAAAGAAATTTCTAACCTCTAATAATTTCTAAATATTCAACACTCGTTTAAAACCTCTAACATTAGAAACTATGTATTAGTTGCACCTCATTTCTCCAGTTAAGAAGAGTCTACGATATGCATATACTACAAATATATATATATTGTATCATATATATTTGTATATTATAGAGTCCTAATAGAGATCGATACTGCATCTTCTCAGTCACTGTACTTATTATAATTTGTATATATGAACAAAATAATATATAGATAGCGAACCTTATCAAATATTTTATATTTTATATATAAACTTATCATTAATTATAATAACTAAATTCTGAATAGAAAAATGGAAGCCTTCTAGAGTGCCACTAAATGATTTGTTTCGATGCATTCAATTGACGGTCTTGGGTTCAATGGTCGAACCATTGTCTCAAATATGTGGCGCAGTAGTCATTATAGATATGGAAGGTAATCAAAAAAAAAAAACTGCGAATATAATGCACCAAATAAATCTTACATGTATATTTTAATTCTTATTCAGGCCTACCAATGAGTCATGTCCTTCAGTTTACGCCATCTTTTGCTGCCATGTTGCTTGACTATGTTCAAGACTGTATTTGCATGAGATTGAAAGGAGTTCATATTGTAAATAATTCATATATATTCAATATGTTATTCGCTATTTTCAAGCCATTCATACGTGAAAAGCTCAGGAAAAGAGTAAGTTTATCAGTATCAGTACCATAAAAATAAATTTTTAATATAAAATTAACGTTTTATTAGATATTCTTCCATGGCAAGGATTGGAAGTCTCTAACATCACATATTGATAAAAGCGTGTTACCCATCAAATATGGTGGAACAGCTACATGGGACTTACCATCAGGAAAACTATTGGGAGAGTTTTTCGAATGTTATTCTTCTGATTTCGAAAGTATGTTAATTTCTTCTTATAATATAACTACATATATGTTATCTCACAAATCTCTTATTTACTTCACAGAAGCCGACAGTTATGGATTTACAGAGGACTATCAATATAAGAAATGAGCTTCAAATAAAATCGTGAAAGGATTTTATTTTTTGCTTTGTTCTAAATGTTTTTATAATTTCTCTAACTGAGGTTTCTTTATGAATATCAGATACTCATTAGTATTCCTGTTTCTAGTTTTATATTTCTGTGTTTGTATAAAAAAATTGTTTATTCCCTTGTGATATTGAATTTGTTAATTTATTTTAAGTACAACCGTAGAATTAGTATATATTAGGCATATGGGGAGTGGCATCAAGGGCACCAATATTTGGTTTTCATCTTTTACGGATCCGGGACCGAAGATAGTACTAACCATAAAAATTTTACGGAAGTAGCAGTAAAGCTAACACTATCAACCAAAACTATTCTATCGGATGACAACCATTTTTCAGACAAAAAAGTGTTAAAAAATCCAAAAATAAAATTGTTACTTAAGTTTTTAAATAAATAATATATATTAATAAATATGAATGACTACATTAACTATTTGAAGAAACATATTTTGCAGTAGAGTACACCAGATCGTCAATCGAATGTTGTAGTGCAGTCTATTAATTTAGGTCCTAAAGCTTTAATACTAAGCTTAATTAATTTAATTTAAAAATAACATAAGACTTTTTCCCCTTTGGTTTTATCACTAATTTTTTTATGTATTCCAACTCAAAGGTAACAAAAGCTTTAACTTTAACACAATAGAATTTAAAAATTATTAATATGCAAAGAAATCATATATATATATTTAGTATATAGAATATATAGTAATCAGAACATGCATTCTTTTGAAAATTCCTACAACGACAGACTAAAGACTTTTAGATCGGGGTCTAGAGAGATCAAGACAAATGCAAAGTTACATTATACTATATTACTATATCTCTTGAGAAGATATGCAAATACTATTGTCAATATTACCAGTAAATATTTGGTGTGATCAGTAATATTACCTTAAAAAATTTTACAGTTCTTGTGATATAAATTCCCTAGAAAAAGTATAGACTTCTGACTAATTTTTGGTAAGATCAATTTCGATTGTTTGCCGAATCTCGTTATTTGATGTATACATAAGTACATACATGGACAATAGTTGAGAACTGTCTCAATAAAGCAAGAAACCAAACTAAGTCCAGTAATTACCAACTGATGGCCGAGAAACTATTAAAAAAGATTTATTTTTCAATAGATATTTAATAGCTTAGTTTTATAGAATGCATTTAAGATCGAAAGTGGTTTTAGTTTTAATTACTTTTGTTCTTTTAATAATATCTATGAATGTGCCATGGTTTTATTTTTGTATTCCGATTTGAGGTTCTAGTAGTTCATGGACATCGTATTTGGTTTGTTTTTTTTACGCATAATAAAAGTTAGAAAATTATAGTAAAAAAAAGTAATGAAGAACATTTGGCTGTATATGTTGACGAAAGATTTTGAGCCGTAGACCTAACTATTAATGGCAGCTTCAGATCTGTTGAAGTAACTATAAAATAACCTACTCTGCATATAACGAATAAATAGTCCATTTAATATTTTTTTTACTTTATATTTAAAAAAAAATTATTACTGTTGATCATTTCCAAATACAAATATTTCTTACAATATCTTGATTTCATATATTATTTTATAAAAGTAATAAGAAAATAAAAACTTTGGTATCAATCAAAAGTAACTTTAAAGTGTTATACAAAGAAATATATAAGAAAGTTAAAGGTATATCTATATCATCTTTTTTCCGCTCCTATTCTTGCTATTACTATAATTAAAATAGATTTCAATCCGAACCTTTTTAAAATACTAGCTTAGTCAAGTAAAAAATTTGGTTCTTAGATAACATACACCGCAGTAAAGTTTTTGATTAAGCCCTATCGGATTGGAATTGAAAGCTACAATAACCGAACTTTGGTCCGTCTTCCAGTAAATCTGTGAAGATTTACTTTAACAGATAGAACTTTTATTGGAAAGAATTAATTTTAAAAATTTCAAAAGAAAATAAACCAAAAAATTTTAAGATTTCCAAAGAAGCAACAACTGATTTTATTTATATCCTACTAATTTAAATAACATCACATAATGGTTTACTTAGTGATTACAAGTATCAATAAGTAAACTTAGTAAGTAACATTATGAAATACATATAACATATAATAGCGTATCGTGTCAGATACTACAAAATGAATAACTGAACTAGACTTGGAGATATTAAAATATTCATTTTTACTACAGCAAACGACATAGAATTTAAAATAACCAACTGATATGTATAGAAAGAAGGTCCTGAAATTTAGTGATCCAGTACATAATGATAATACACTTCTATTTTGCAATACAAACAACAAAATGCAAGAGAGACTAATATTTTTACCAAACTGGGCCCGAAAGCTTTAGAAAAGGTTGAATGAATGATGATTAAAGGATGATGTGTAAGTTTCGTTTTTAGAGTTATCACAATGGTTATGATATGAAGGAGCAAGCAAAAGGAGAGTTTTGAATTCCATCTAACATTTCAAATAATATTTCCGCAAATTTCCAAGTATTTCTGGATAGATGTTTACGTCTTATTTTATTTATTTATTTATTTATTATAATAAATTACAAAATATAAAATCTTATAGCTGAAATAGGACTATTACAAACCGGACATTAAAATGACTGACCGTCACTTAAAAGGTGCTCATGAAAAAGGTTTAAGTGTCCCATATGCAATCGAATAAAAATTTGACATTGTTGTAGGGTGATTATGGGTATATTGCTTTTAATCCACTGACATTGACCATTCCATTGCTGTTTCTCATCCATATATTTCTTTATAATATTTGACTAACTTTTCAAATAGCAAGTTGCTTAAGCACAAAGTGTATATCGATGCTAAAATAGTTATATAATTTTTACTAGAAAGGGGACATCAGTTGTACTTTGCTTTTTTCTAAAGGTAGCTTGATTGGGATTATTTACTCCCAAATATGAACTAAGCACCACAAAAAAACTTTTAGCAACGATTTTTTTCTAGAATTTCACTACTACTAGTTACAGAGCCAGATTTATCTAATTTCGGTATTGCAACAACTTCAGTAACACGCAAATTTTGTGGATAGACACCTTTCTCAAGAATGTAATTATATAAATCGATTAATTTGTTTATTAAGAAGAATGGAATACGATATAACTGGAATACGATATACGGTTGGACTAATCTGTACCTGTTGTCTACTAATAATTTCTTACGATAAGTTATTGCAAACAATAGAGCAAAAAATATATAAATGGATCGGTCATACACTTCGGTAGTTTTATGTGGTAACTACTTACTATATCTAATATGTGAAATGAAATTGTGACAAAACTTATACAAACTTCTGAATATATGATATATAGACGTAAATATACCACATCTAATGAATGTCTTCTGTAAATAGAATAAATACAAAAATTACATTTATTTTTACAACTGTCCGAGGGTCTTATAATCACTATCTTATACTCAAGAAAATTTTCTAACCACCCGTTCGTTATGTCGAATTATAAAGCAAAAACTTTTTAAAAAAAACAGTTCTAGAAGTTAGAAGTCAATTCTAAAAGTTAGCAACTAAAGTACTAAAATCACACTCTAATGGCGCAAAATGCAGGAAATGCCCGAAAATAACCTTATAAAGATGAATTAATAAGGAGAACTTCATTTATTTCTGAAACTATTGAATATGTTCAGATGTAATAACTTGTTTCTATGAATCTACGTAAATTTGCTAGATATAATTCGTTGGACTGATAGGAGTGCCATTCATACAGACTATGTTGATATCAAAATTATATTATAGTAAATGTCACCATATTATTTTTACTATTATTATAAATTTTTCAATATAAAACAGTATGTATAGTTTCTGTCCTCTTAGTTATAGGAGATTCATAAGTCATATACGAGTATATAATGTATCTTAATATAGGTTTTGTAAGCATTAAGAATTTGCATTGAGGAAATACTTAACCGTATTGCTCTTCGCTAAATAGCTTTCCTCATTTCCTCGTGAAGAAGTTTCAACGGAATTCAAATAACAAGTGCATTGACATTCGTTAACCCGAGCCCGACTGCGAAGCAATCGTTCATTTTATGCATTACAAATGCAGAGTTTAATAAATAGGCGGTAAACGCAATCTTCAGTATCAACTGTTGAAAAATGCGATATGTAAAGATATGTCTTTTTCAGTACAACATGCGCATCCGTTATGAATTACGTGCCCAATGAAGTGCCCTCTCCGTTCCATGTTCTCTATTCTATACAGTTTGGGTATGCAAATGAAGTGCGCGCCTTCACGTCCATACAATTGATAAACTTAAACATAAAGTGAAAAATGAAGAGAAATAGGGTGAATGAGTGAGAGAGAGGCATTAACTAATATACGATTACTTTGGGTAAAGTAAATAACGAACTACCGCGAAAGAGTCGAGCCAAGCCCTTAAGTGAAACATGAAAACATTGCTTATAAATGTCACTTCATACAGTGGCTCTGTTGCAGGGATTAATTGATGGTTTACAAAGCACCCACTCAACTCTTCATACTGGAGCAACATTTACGAGTACACAACCTTCTCATGCAATATTTTAACAGTGATCAAAATGTATTCTTCTTAGATTTCATTGTGTCTATTTGTGCCCCTTTCGATAATAATTCTCACAGATGTGCACGGCTCTGTGATGATGAAGTGCATTTGTGATTTAAAGCAGTGTGGAGTACCTGTATAAGCTATTTAGTTAACACTAAGTGACGATCAATTTACCAGCTGAGCAGGCCAGCGGGCTAATGAGACTGCGTTCTAAGTGCACGAAGTGTAAAAGAGGAAAGGAGGAAAAAAAGAAACAAAGCCAGAAGGAAGCAACTCCAAGTGCAGCACGTAATCTTCGGTAAACATATTACTGAGCATAGGGCATGAATACAAAACGATAAAAAGGAATTCTTCTGAACCCAAACGCATTGATTACGGGTGTTATGTAAAAGTACTAATCTTCACGTACGAATCCAACTTGTGTGTGTGCACTTGCAGGAATGTGTTCACTTTATGTGGCCTGCATATTAAATTCCCTAATTTATGACTTCGAACAACAGCCGCAGAATCGGTTACTTCTTGCACTCAAATTTACGTGCCCGGCTGCAAAGAACGCAGTAGAACAGCACAAACTGATGGATTACACTTTATACAAGTAAGTGATGTCAATTATGGTGCTTCTGTTTTCGTTATCCAAATCAGTAAATACCAGTAACGTACAATGTAACAGAATATAACACTCATGACACTTTAATAATTATTTTAATTGAACTGCATTATAAGTAATACGATGAACCCGAGTCTTCGTTCTTCATCTTCTTTCATTTGTTCTAGTCACAAATCTATTCAATTCAAATTATCGTCCAGTTCGCATAAACCGACAGTTATTTTAAATAAAGTATAGTTTTGGAAAACTA